AGTCAAAGAACTATAACTAAGACTCTCATTTTAACGACTTACGAGTTAAGTGAAACGATGTCATATTGTAATCATTATAGGTCTGTGAACTCCTACACACTTTCCAGGCGGGAAAGAGGAGATTATTGTTCATTCTACGATTATTGGTGGCTGCGGCAAAAAAACTATTCTTTCAGAAGTTATATATTAGTAAAAGAGACGCATTTATTTCAAAAATTTCTTATGAGATAAAGCCCATCTTCATGCTCGAATGATTGTTGCATCAAATATTAAATGCAATTATGCTTATTATAATTAGCCATGCGCCTGAGTCCTAACCACGCAATGTTTTAGTCAATTCATCAGATGCCATTATATTAAAAAATAATTAATATAAATAAAAAAGCGCTAGAATAATTATCTTTAATCCACATTATATGATTCTCTTAGCATCCAAATCCAATTTATTAATAAAGCAATTAAACTAATACATTTTTATAATAGCATCGTGAAACATTGTGTAACCCCACGTGGATGTATTCTTTACTTTTGCGTCCATGTTGGGGAAATATTTTAACAAACATGCAACTTATACAATTTTCTTTACAAATTCTTGAACAAATGTTGAGGTGACACATACCTCAATTCTTGATTTGAATTTCATTTATTCAAATCAATGACCTATCTTTCAATATTGGAATGGAATATCAATTTAACTTTACAAATAAAATTCTTGACTTTTCCTTGAGTACAATACACATTAAGCCCCGTTTGGTCCTCATTAATTTTCTTTCCATTATATTTTATTTTTCTCTATCATATTTTCAATCACACAATTTTCCATAAAATAATATTGTATGTAAATTGAAAAATTTTCCTTTTTTTTTTCAACTACTTATTTTTCAAAAAAACACTATTTCACCTATTTTCATTTCTACAAAATATGGGCCAAACAGGGGCTAATTTGTCAATTGATCGAACTGACAAGCAATACTGGGTCCGTTTGATAGCAAATATGGTAAAAAGCAAACCAATTCCCTGTAAGTTGGAAAAGAAAAAATCACCAAAATAATAAGAACTCGATTTCCGTAGAATTGACCAAAAACATGCTTTAAGTTATTATATTTTGGAATTCGAACTTTCGTATCAAACAGTCAAGATAGAAAACGAATTTTTCGAATATAATATTTTTCATGAAATACGATGCTATCAAACGGTCCCTTATTTTCTTTCTCTTTTCTATTTCTTCTTTGTTCCACGCAATATATTTCTTCTACGTTATTCTAAAGCGGTAATTCACTTTCTCACCCTATATGATTATCTCTTAAAATATTTATAATATTGAACGAATCTTTTGGAAAAGAGTGTAAAAGGATAGATAATAAATAATTAACTATACTCTTGTGTTATGAGTTGAAATATTTTTTTTTCTTTAAGGACAAATGTTAATAAAATAATGCAAAGGAGATGGCAATTAAGAATTATGTGCGCATGAATAACGAGAGATTACCTTATGTACGGTTTCTTCTTATGAAAATAATCGAAAGAAATATTTTATCGCGAATATGGATTTGATATTTTGGAAAATATTCTTAATTGTATAATATAATATAGCCCCATTAAATTTATAATACATTTTTCTTTCTCTTCTTTTAATAATACATCTCTAATAAAATAATATTACACGAAAAAAAAAATCATTCTTTTTCAATTACATATTCTCCAAAAAAAATACTATTCCAAAAATTATAACATCGAATATAGGGGCCAAACGGGGGCATAAAAAATAATAGTTTAACTATTTTATTTTATATTGTTTAATATTTATTTAATTAGTTTGATCAAACATGCCATTAAAGCTGAAAATTCCTAACATATTTGGAAAATATTGAGAAACAAGACATATAATATTTCTTTAGGTTGATTGTTCATTCCAAATGGTCCTATAAAAAGATGATTTCAAAGCAAGCGCGTGCACACACACACACACACACACACACATATATATATATATATGATCACTCAATTTAAATGTAATATTTGGTGATCATTGGTGAATTTAGTTATTTAGATATATTTTGTTGTTAGAGTATATCCAAAAAACTCTTCATTTTTTAAAAAAAAAATATATATATTTTATAATTTAGAGATTATCTATAAATTTAGAGAGTAAAAATTTTGTAGTAGGTGTTCTTTATATTTAACAATTAATTTTACTTCTTTCACAAAAATATTTATTATTTTTCTCTATTATTTTATTTTAATTAGCTTTTCTTTAGATTATTATATTATTTCTTACATTGAAAATTAAAAGTAATTTGAATTCATTTAAGGGAAAATTGCAGCAACAGTCCCTAATATTTTCATTTTTTGCAAACTTTATCTTAACTTTCATTTTGTGCCAGCAGTGGTTCCTAACCTTTCATAAATATGCACCTAAGTTCTATTTGGACGGAAATCGTCCAAAACATCGTCAATTGATCGGAAAAATTAAAGAATCAATATCCAACAAAATCATCCAAAACTCCATCCAAAAATCCCATCCAAAAATGATTTAATGTCCAATAAAATCGTCGTGGTAGCAAATAGTTCAAGGAATTTTTTCGGTCAACTGACAGTGTTTTGGACGATTTTCCGTTCAAATGGACCTCAGGTACATTTTTTTGAAAGGTTAGGGACCTTTGTTGGCATAAAATGAAGATTTGGGTAATATTTGCAAAAAATAAAAAAATTAGGGACTGCTACTACAATTTTCCCTTCATTTAATTATAGAGAGTAAGTTTAGCTTTGAGAGCCAAATCCACTCTCTAAATCAAAATGTCAATTTAAAGAATTTTTTGTGGTATGATTTTAAAGATTGACCCTTTAAAATAATTTAAAAAGTCAATTGAAAATGCTCTTAAAACATTAAACTCTCTCTCATTTTTATTTTATTGTTGATAAAAGACAAATGGTCATTAGTATTGAATTCTGGATATATAATCTATTAGAGATCAATTTTGAGAGTAACCCTCTTTTCATTAAATATAAATGCCTAAGAGATTTTAAGTTCCCCTATGTGAATTCTACGTAGGCTGTAATTCATACAATGTTCTTAGAAAATATTTTCTTAGACATCGTCTATTTATTTTTTATTTTTTATTTTTATCTTTTTGAAAAAAACAATCTATGTTGACATTGAAATGCACTCATAAGCACGTGTTGGTTTATTGCTACTTTCATCCTTATTTGATGGGATTAAAACTGAATTTTTAGTAGAATTTATTAAAATTTGATTACATATGTGGATGAAAAGTTGTCTATTCTCCAAAATAGGTGACTAAAATTGATTGTCGATTTTGATTTAGATTAAAATCACAACCAAACATGAGCGTAATATAAAATCATTTTCCAATTTTAATTTCTAAATATTCTATAATTCAACAATTGTATAAATCATAATTAAAAAATCAAGGAGGAATTCTCAATAGATTGATGATGAAAAAATGAAAGAGAGAGAAACTAAGATAAGAAAAGTAAAAGAAAAGGAAGTCAGTTAAACCTGTTTGACAACCACAAAATAAATAGAGTTTTGTTTTGGAAAAATGAGTCTTGAAATATTTATTTTTTAGAGAATGTATGGCTAAAATTTATAATTTTTTTGACTTACGTATAAAATATTTTATTGTAAAATTTCGTATTTGAAAAATGAATTTGAGAAATAATCAAATAACTTTTGGTGAAAATTAAAATCTAAATTTTAATTTAAGTCAAAGTTAACAATTAATTTTAATCGCATATTTTTTAGGATTAAAATCTTTAATCATATATTTTATCAAATTTTATTAAAATTTGCTAAAAATTAGATTTTAATTCCCACCAAATATGGACATAATATTTCAATATAAGGAGTTACCAAATGGAGTCAATTTCACTTTTATTTACAAATAAATCGCTTGGCTTTCCGTCAGTGCAATATGTGACAACTTACAAATTCGACTAGCATACAAGTTATCACTTATACATAATTGAAAAGTAATTAAATTAAAATTTAAGTAATAAAAAATTGTGAATTTTATAGAACAAGTTATCTCTTTAGTACATGTTTGAAAAGTATACCATACCAGTTCGCGTCTCGTCACAACGAACCAAATATTTCTAACAAAATTCACCAATTTTGTACAATTATTATTATCAACCAATGAAGATGGTGTTTGATGAAGATTAAAATTAGATTTTTTTAGTAGATTGTGATAGAAATTTTTGAAATGTGTGATTAAAAGTTCTGGAACCCATAAAAGATGTAGTTAATATTGATTGTTTGACTTTGATTTAAATTAAAATCGAATTTTAGGCCATGTTTGATTGGCAAATCTTTTCAATGGAAAACGGCCATTTTCCCACTTTCAAGTGTTTGGTATGGTATTTTTTTGCCATGGAATTCAAGTTCCACATTTTCTTGGACTTTGGATTTTTCTAGCTTTTTAGGGAATGATAATTGATTTTCCCGGTTAATGTAACATATATGTACTTTTTTTTGTTGTTGACAAAGTTAACAAATTCTAAGAATTATTGTAAAAAAATATTTCTATTGAATTGACAATTTTCATATAAAATAAAGTCAAACAAATATCAAAAGATAGATGATTTCTTGAATTTTTTGTTTTTTAGCAATGGAAACAAATTTCATCTCCAACATTAGCAAATTCTATCAATTTAATTGACAATTTTCATGTAAAATAAAGTCAAACGAACATTAAAAAAACACTTTTATTTCAATATTTTCCATATGAAAATTTATACCAATCAAACATAATAATTTACAACTCCCAAAAAATAATTTCTAGACAATTCAATTCTTTAAACATCATTTTCAATTCAATTTAATTTTATTTTTACAATCAAACGGACTTTTAATCAAATTAAACATGCTCAAACTTGTAACCTAGCAAAACCATGGTGTGCCCATGATCAATAATTATCTGTCCATATTAATTATTCAAATAATTTAAACGTTTTTGTATGGCAAAATAATTAATTATCCCCAAGTTTCTATATATTCTCCTCCGAGGCCATTTCTTCTTCCCATAGATATAGAGAGTGAAGCAGGGACGAAAGGAGTGAAGACTGATAAATCGTAGTCTATTTTTTCTGTCTCTGCAATTTCTGCAATATTGATATTTGATTTTTCAGTGCCCTGATTTCCGGACAATTTCTTTTAAGAAATTTTCAGGTACGATTATAATTTCCTCATCTTGTTATATATATGTATATTTTCTTTATCTGCATGCATTTCTATGTATTCTTTGCGCATTTACTGTTTTTAGTTTAAAATTTTAGTTTTTTTTTCCCTCCTTTTGTGGGGGAAGAAAAGTAAAGATATTGAAGAACTTGGGGTATATGTATTTGGAAATTGGAAATTTACCCTTTTTTGTTAAACCCTAGTATCCTGTTTGGCGGGGAGGAAAATATTAAAGATAAATGTTTTGCGACTTAATTAATTTGTGATTTATATCATTATATTTAGAGTATCATTCAACCGAATAAAGGAAATATTCACATTTGATTTTATTTTTCTTGGAGTTAATCAAATTTATTATAGTTGTAGTTATACTTTTATTCTGTTTCCTTTTCATAAATTTTTTTCTATATTTAATTGCGAATCAAGAAAATATTTTTCCCACATTAATCCTAGAAGAGAGATCTTCCTTTTGCATTGGTGAATATTTTCTCTGTAGGACTTTTAGTTGGTGTGAAGAAAACAACGTAGCCTTCGAATTTTCATAATAATTTTCAGTTTGTTGAGATTGATTGTTCTTCTCTTTTAAACATTAAAACTAGAACATTCTGGTGCTATTTTTGGCTAATATTTTATATTTTGTACATTCAACCAGATTTTGAAATTATTTCCCTTCTGTTCAGTTAGATGCTTTTAAAAATTCTCTTTCTTTCTTTGATTATTATCTTTATTCTCATTCTAGGTGCCCACGATAATATTAACCAAGAACTTTCTTATGCATTCAACTTCGTTTAACTTTTGTACTGGTGAAACTTTGTTTTGGATACTCTATTAAAATCCTCGTCATATTTTAATCATGAAGAATGCCAATATGATATAAAATTTCTTACATTATTCCCGTTGCTTATTCCATTTGTGGAATTCTAAGCTTTGTTATCCTGAATGGTGTGGTTTTGATTTTGATGTTGTTTACGTAGTGATATCTTTTCTTGGGCATATTTTTGGTGATCAGAGACTGGATCCTGAGTAGAAAATTATATTATATGGAGGGCCGTGCAGAAGGAGGTTTGAAATGTCAGAGGGCTATGGATGGGAGGGAGACTGACATCAATTGTTTGAACAAGGCCATGGTTATCCCTTCTTGTTGTTTGAAAGCTAAGGTGTCTGACCCTGAGCTTGAAGCCAGATGCCATTCCACGGTTGTTTCCGGATGGTTCTCTGAACTTCAGTCATCCTCTGGTAATTGCACATGACTTCTTTTCTTTTTGTTTGTAGAACTTGTTGATTTTCTATTTTCTATCCAAGTATCTATCTTTTGGTCATTTTTCTGACTTCTTTCCTGCAGAAAAAGATCAGAAAGAATTGTATTTCAACAACCCAATGTGGCCAGGTTTCATTGCCTTTACTCTCACTTATCATTTAGCCTATGGATAAGTTGTTATACTTAAACATATGGTCTTGCATTGCTTTATACAATCCACATATTGAACATTTATTATTATTATTATTATTATTATTATTATTATTATTATTATTATTATTA